CCCCCGACACCAAAAAATTGTGCACTGACACATTGACGATAAGTTGTAAAGGTCGATCCAGCCTCGGTGGGGCCGTGGAGGGAAAAGGGTGGAGGGACCGGTGGTGGCACTATGCTGTGACAGTCACACACTGCACGCTAGTAGGTCGCACACATGTTCAAGCCAATAAGCACTCGGACAAAAAACGCAGACCAACGAGCATACACACACGCACAAACTAGGAATGGACCGGTCCACTATTGGGGCTAGGCCCCACTCCTACACTTATACAAGAACTGCTCCCTTTCTATCGGAAATGGGAGCTAGCTAAGTAGGTTTGGGCCCCTAACTGTCATGCCAAGGACTAAGGGATCGAGTTTGCCCGACCCTCCTCCGGCTCTTTCTCCATTTTCATTTTTTTTTCCCGTTAAGGCAACTCAGAATCGATACGTATGGTTAATAAAATCAATCAATCGATCAATCAGTCAATCAACCAATCGGTCGGTCCTCTGATTGATTGCTTGGTTGAATGATTGATCCATTGATTGATTGATTGACGAGTGAGCAAGCGAGAGAGAGAGAGAGAGAGAGAGAGAGAGAGAGAGAGAGAGAGAGAGTACACTATTTTACATGCATATGGACTTCTTCTAAGCCTCGTAGAACCCATACACTCGAAATGTTTCAGGTATGTTGTGGATGTAAATTTAGTAAGTTACTAAGTTATACATTGTGTGTATCGCAAGTATGTTGTGGATGTATGACTGGTCGTGAATTTTGCACAGCAGGGGTGTCCATTGACTTTTGTATTTCACCGAATTATTCTTGCAACAATACACTGGTAAGTTGTTGCACTTTTTTCATATTGGAGTACTGATTATCCCTTGCACGCAAATGTGTCATCTTGGAGTGTGCTTGCTTGCTTGGTTGCTTGCTTGCTTGCTTGCTTGCTTGCTTGCTTGATTGATTAATTGATTGATTGATTGATTGATTGATTGATTTTTGATTGACTGATTGGTTGGTTGCTGCCTATGGTTTGTCGAGACATGCTCCTCTTCCTCGTCCGCTTCCTCCTCCACCTCCCCCTCTTCCTCCTCTCCCTTCACCATAGCTGGGACAACTTAAACCCTCACACCGGTCTCATCCTCCTCTTTCACCTCCTCCTCCTATTCTTCGTCCTCCTCCTAACCCTCCACCTTCTGTCGCCCCGGAAGGCAGTCACCTCTCTCGCCAGAATTTCGAACATTGTCGTTGCGGGCGTCGCAACCCCCGCTGCCCTTTTTTTTTTTTTTTATGGATTTTTTTTTTGCCTTCCCGGTCACAATCAGCGAATGAATCAATCAATCAATCAATCAGTCAAACAATCGATCAATCAATCAATCAATCGATCAAACAATCAATCAATCATTCAATCAATCAATGTGCACTGAACTGCGGATTTCTGCGGCCTGCGTCGTCGGCGAAGGAAAGGTACCGAGAAGGAAAGGTACTGGGCCACCGAGAAGGAAAGGTACCGGGCCTTTGAGAGCATCTCTGGAAGCGGAAAAGGAGAAAAAGTTTTGTGAAAAGGTCAGTTGACTCAACCATCTTCCCGACTGCATGACTAAGGTGATTGTATGGCTTGCTTGCGGGGAAGGAAATGTTACTCATAAGAGGATCGGAAGGAAAAAGGAAAACTTAGGCTTGTGGGAAGGGGTGATGTGTTGACCCCACGGATAAGGATTGTATTTGGGCCTTGCTTTGTGTGGTCTTGCGCAGGTGAGTAGCTCGGGATGGTTTGAGCGGGACGGGACCCGCGGAACGCGGGCAAGGGTGTGAAAATGGACAAGGGAAGGACTTAGACCTGGCCTAACTATGAATGTGGGAAGGGTTTTGAGGGTTGGATGCTTGGATGAACGGCGGACGACGGGGTGTGGTTTGTGTGATGAATGAGCGGGATGACTCTCTTGTGTGCAATATGTGAGGCCGAAAAGACTAAGGGCGCCTATGGATGATGCGAATGCTATGCCAATGCCTTAAGCAAAAAAATTATAGGGGCTAGGGGTTAGCCTGCGGCGTTGCACCCCGAGGATGCCCTAGGAACCACTTAGGATCTCCACGCTTAGTGAAAAGGTGTGTGGCCCAATGTATGACGCTTGGCCTACATACAAAAAAGAAGCTGAAATCTCAATGAACTCCCTGGACTGCTTGCGTATTGGAAGGAGCAATTGCCTGGTCACATTTAAATGAATCGAGAAAACTCCACGAGTGATCAAAGAGCTACCATTTCGCTGTAAAATAAAAAGTGATTTCCTCCTCCTTTCATGTTTTCATCAAGGTTTCATAATTCTGATGTTTATTATTCTTTTATATGTCTCCGTCAACGCAGGAAAAGAGGAGAGCAAAAGACCGACACACATTTCGAAGACTAGCACAAAGAGGACGAACAATGTTGCAGAAAAGCTACAACTCACAGAGATGACAAAAAAAATGAAGGACATGATGTTCTGGAACGACACAAAGAGAATGCAATCGTCAATAATTGACAAACAAAATGTCACAGATCTCAAGGGCAAAGCGCAAATGGACAGCTCAACTTTTGAAACAAGCCACCGCGATAATGTGAACGAAGATGAAAAAATTGATGAGTGGAGAAGTGTGAAAAATAAGGTAGATTCAAAGAGTTCAGATTGCGAAATGGACGGTATAAGTCTTGTGCCTTTTCAGTTCAATATTTTTTGGGGTGAAGCATTAATATCCACGGATTTCATATCGCTAGTTTGAAATCGAACGGCTGGTTTCATGGAACCGTTATCGATTTTTCCCTGCAGTCAACTTTAGAGGATGCATCACAAAGAACGACGAAAAATCCCGTTTTTGTGTGTACATGGTTCTGGCACGAATTGATACAAGCGAAACAATCAGTGGATAAGACAAAATCGGACTGTGAAGATAGACTGAAGAAAGGGAGAGAAAAATGTTTGATTTTTTCGTTTGCATCCAAGATTTGGGATAGTACATTGGTGATAATCCCGATCTGGCATGAGAAACATTGGACAGTGTTGGTGATGATAAACGTAGGGGACTTTGTGAAAGGAGTTTCAAACGATGGTAGATGCAAACCAACATTGATTCATATGAACTCACTTCGGAATAAATACAATCCTAGCTGGGATGCACTATGTAGCTGGGTCTTCGATGAATTTATCTTCGCAATTCAAGCGGAGGTGGTGGCAGATCAACCGAAGCAAGAGGGTCGTGGACCATGTGTAGAGAAATGTTTGGGAAAAACATGGTCAAAGTTGACTGTCAGCAACAAGAAAATGTAGACGATTGTGGTGTGCATAAATGCATGAACGCAGAACGTCTCATCAAACACTTCGTTGATCGACCAGTTCTTAACGAAATAAGCACGGACGAGGTATTGACCGTGATTGGCAAACAGAAAAATGAAAACAATAGGACAAAGCAAAAGCGTCAGGAAATTGTGGAATACACAACCAGATATATCGCAAGAAAGAACAGGATTGAGGAGACGAAGATTGACAATATTATCAAATCATTAATGAAACTGAAGGTCGAAGACGATGATACTTAGCCATAGTGTGGTTTACAGACTGAAAGCTCACGCCCTGATGCTACAAGTTACATGCACGGAAGATTGACACTCTTTGTTTGTACTTCTTCGCTTGTAGGGTAGAGTGGAGAGATCATCCGCTATCGCTATTTAGTCCCTACGTAGCGAAGGATCGTAGGTTGTGTAGATATGGGTACAAGGGTAAAATACGACGACATCTGCAGAAAGAAAGGTCAGCAACGAAGCAACTCTATGCAATTCATTGAAGAATACAATGTGCGTTAGAGAATGGGTAGACAACGGAAGGCAGAGAAAAGCAACTCTATGCACATTGATGGTGCCAGAGAAGTTCTGAAAAGCACAAAGACTGATCTTCGCCACCAATCGAGGGGGAAGGAGTCAACAACCAGAGACAGAGAAAAGATGGACGGGACGTCTTCAACGCCGAGACGGAATATAAGTCGGTCAGAGGAGGAAACAGTGGCGCCAAGCGCGCCACGAAAGACGAAAAGATTACATCAGAATTGCGAGAATGACGATGACATCATAGGTCACCCACAAAGAGTTGAAATCACGCAAGGTAGGGAGAAAATAAGCCAAGGGATAGAAAAGGGAGGGAGCCGTGTGGAAATTAACACCACAAGAGCAACTGACAGAGGTTCAGCGAGAAACAAATTTGCAATACATGAGAACAACAGTGTGAGAAAGGGGGAAACGAAAAAATACGACAATCAGTTCAGTGAAGAAGAACATGATGAATTTCCTGGAGCAGTTGGAAGAAAATACGGATATAAAAGAAGATCATTCAGAAGACACACATTCAAAGTCGGAATCACAAGCAAGTTCGGCGGACGGTGGAGAACATGACAATGAAGAAGACGGATCTGCAGGAGGTGGAAAACAAGACTGCGGAGAAGAAATGGATGATGCAAATGAGCAAGATAGCGACAACTGCCACAAAATGACGAACCTTCGCACATATAAACCAGGTAAATATCTTTGCTTCGAAGGCATGAGCAGCGTCGAAATTGATGGAATTCCTTTGCATCTCAATTCCGCCGGCAAAGTTATACGCTGTAAAATAAAAAGTGTTTTCCTCCGCCTTTCATGTTCTCATCAAGGTTTCGTAATTCTGATGTTTATTATTCCTTTATATGTTTCCGTCAATGCAGGAAAAAAGAAGAACAAAAGATCGGCACACATTTCGAAGACTAGCACAAAGAGGACGAGCAATGTTTCAGAAGAGCTACAACTCACAGAGATGACAAAAAAAATGAAGGACAGGATGTACCGGTCAATTGCTAAGGCATGCATGTATATATCTTCTCGAGACTCCACATTCTATCCGAAGGAGGAACAGTTTTTCAAGTCATTAACAATAACGGCAGAACATATAGGACAATGAACATCCGTAGGGTTGAAAATGTATGTAGAGGAGCGCGACATGAGGCAGGTCCTCGTGGAATGTAACAGGATCATGACGACCATTAGAGGGGAGATATCATGGAACTTAAAACATGAGTTTTTGGCTGAGAAGGGATACCCTCTGGTGAGTTCAAAACAAACAGACAAACAACAAGAGAAGCGACAACAACTGAGAGAGGAAATGATCAAGGACAAGACATGGAGGTGGAAGGGAAACGAGTCATGGGTTGATCCGGCGTTCGAACTCTGCTTGGCGAGGGTGTTCTTTCACACGAGGAAAGACCAAGGGACTGGTGTGTCATTGCAACAACTTGCATTTGCAAAGATGGTAATAAAAAATGAGGTATTGCAATGCGCGAAGAAAACTCGAGTGGACGAAAAAATCTCGGAGTTGACAGAGATTGAAAGAGAAATTATTGCATCAGTCGAGGCACGAGACACATGTGTGAACTTCAACATCTTCAGCCTTGATCGGTCAACGATTGTGGCTGATAAAGCACTCATCTTGTTCGAAGTAGGGTTGCCGGTCGAACAACACGGTAACGTTCGTGCCGCATTGTTCACCGACGAAGACTACACGTTTCAACACAAGGCTACTTCATCAGCAGTGCAGGAGACCATATGAAGACGACAAACAACACATGATTCAATATGCTCTTACATGGTGAATAAAGGACAACAATTGCAAGGGAGAAA